GGACCAATGACACCAAGATAACACCTGATTCTGCAGAAGCCTACCGAAAAATAGTGAAGTACTTATCAGAAACAAATGCGAATTTTCACACTTACCAGCTGAGGCAGGAAAGAGCTTTACGAGTGGTGATAAGAAATTTACATTCCTCAACCCCCACTGAAGTTATTAAAGAAGAACTAACGACGCTTGGTTTCAATGTACGCCAGGTAACAAACGTTTTGAAGGAGGACAGGGAACAGCCAGGATTACGAAATAGGATCCCACTACCATTGTTTTTCGTGGACTTGGAGCCATCACCAGGTATCGAAAAAATATATGATATCACAAGAATATACTATACAATGGTGAAAGTTGAGAAGCCATATCCCAAGAGAGACATCGTGCAGTGCCATAATTGTCAGACCTATGGCCACACGAAGACATATTGCCACCATCTGCCGCGTTGCGTGAAGTGCGGTGAACAGCACAAATCTGTAGAGTGCACCAAACCTATACAAGATCCAGCAGTATGTGCCCTATGCTTGGAGGGACACCCGGCCAACTACAAAGGCTGCCAAATTTACAAGAATCTCAAAACCAGACACCAGAAAAACCGGATTCAAGATGAAGCACTAAGAACAAGAAGAGAGAGAGAGCCTTCCAGAATTGTAAACAATGATGTATCATTCTCCCAACTACTTAGAGGTAAGACTTTAACCGATAAATGTCAAGCCCTGCCACAACAACAACCTCAAACCCAACCTCAAAATCCTCTTCATCCTAATATACCTAACCACCAACAACAAATTCCTCATATTCCTCCTCCTTCAAATGCAACAGATCTCACAAGTTTGTTAGCATCTTTCCTCACCGATTTCAAATCCCTTGTTACTCCACTCATATCACTCCTCACGAATCTCGTATCTCACCTCATCCCTCCTTTGAAAAATCCTTAAATGACTCACATCCCTAAACCCATATCCATTCTCCTTTGGAATGCGAATGGTGTTAGAAATCATACAGACGAACTATCTACTTTACTACTTGACAAGAACATTGATGTGGCACTAATTACTGAAACTCGACTAACCACTAAACAGCACTTCAATATACCACAATACCTGACATATCGTACTGACCACCCTGACGGAAAAGCACATGCCGGTACTGCTGTAATTGTACACCAATCCCTCTCCCATCACCTACTCCCATTACCAATACATGATTTCCTACAGTCCACCGCTATCGTGATAAAAACCTTCTCCTTTCCGGTCACTCTTGCATCAGCGTATTGCCCTCCTAACCGATCCATATCCAATGCCCAATTCAGTTCTCTCCTCGACTCCTTAGGACATCACTTCATCTTGGGTGCAGACCTAAATGCCAAGCACCAACAATGGGGTTCCAGAACCACGAATTCTCGTGGCCGAACCCTGCTGTCTGCACTCAATTCCCAACGTTTTCACCTCCTTTCCCCCAACTCTCCTACCTACTGGCCCACAGATCCCAACCGTAATCCTGATCTTCTAGATTTCTTTATCCACAGCGGCTTAAGTCCCCTCAATTGTTCCATTACACGTCTAAATGAACTTTCCTCTGACCATAGTCCTCTAATCCTTAATGTTTCACTTGAACCTGTTCCCAAACCTTCTCCACCGTCATTCATTAGGGGCCCAGTAAACTGGGACCTTTTCCGCCAAATAATCTCCGATAATATTGATCTCAACATATCCCTCAAAACTCCCGATGACCTTGATAGTGCCGTAAATTCCTTTACTACCACAATCCAACAAGCCGCCTGGACTGCCTCCTTTCCAAAAGACTCCTCCAGAATTCCTATAAAGACCATTCTACCCCAACACCTCCTTAACCTAATCCGCACCAAACGCCGTGCCAGATTATTATGGCAACGATCCCGACATCCTACCGACCGCTGCTCCTATAATTACTACTGCAAACAATTAAAACTGGAATTAGCCACCTTCAGATCACAATCCTTCAACTCCTACCTATCCTCCCTCTCTTCTCGCGACAATTCCCTTTGGAAAACCACAACAAAAATCCTAAATCCTCACCGCATTTCCCATCCTCTCCGACGAGGTGATGGCTCCTGGGCAGCATCTGACGAAGATAAAGCTGAGGAGTTCGCCATTCACCTATCCAATACATTTATTTCACATCCGGAATCCCATCCTGCCCACACCGTAACAGTAGAAGAACTCCTTACATCACCAATCCCACTTTCCTTGCCCCCAAAAGCTATTCATCCTTCCGAAGTAAAATTTCAATTAAAAAAACTAATCCTCCGTAAAGCTCCTGGACATGATCTCCTTACACCTCAAATCCTTCGACAACTTCCATCCAAAGCAGTCATATTCCTTACATATATCTACAATTGTATCCTACGCACCACCCACTTCCCTCTGTTATGGAAACACTCCACTATTATCCTTTTCCCAAAACCAGGAAAACCTCTCAATAGCTCAACATCCTATAGACCAATCAGCCTACTCCCAATCCTTTCAAAAATTTTTGAAAAGATCCTTTTGAAACGAATCCTACCCATTATAGAATCCCAAAATATCCCTTCCCATCAGTTTGGTTTTCGCTCTCAACATTCTACTGTTCAACAAGGACTCCGAGTCGTTGATCATATTTCCTCAGCCCTAGAAAACAAGGAATACTGTTCGGGTGCCTTTCTGGACATTGCACAGGCATTTGACCGGGTATGGCACTCCGGACTGCTCTCCAAGCTTAAAATCCATTTACCTCAGTCCTTGTACCTAGTCCTCCGATCCTACCTCTCTGACCGCTCCTTTCGAGTTCGCTGTGGAACAGAATTTTCCAATATCTACTCCGTTAAAGCCGGTGTTCCCCAAGGCAGCGTCTTGGGTCCCGTGCTTTACATCCTCTTTACTGCTGACATCCCTGTTCATCCCGATACTTTTCTTGCAACATTCGCTGACGACACCGCAATCTTATCATCCAACTCTGATCCCGAAATAGCATCCTTAAATCTCCAAAGTCATCTCACCTTGATTGAGCACTGGTGTAATAACTGGCGCATTAAAGTTAATGAATCTAAATGCCAACACATTACTTTTACACTCCGACGCAATTCCTGTCCACCAGTACTCTTTAATTCCATCCAGCTTCCTTATTCAGACACAGTCCGGTATCTTGGCTTTCATTTAGACCGAAGACTAACTTGGAACCCGCATACTAGACTCAAAAGACAAGAACTCAACCGACGATACGGCCAACTATACCGACTACTAAGCAGAAAATCTAAACTTTCCATTGAAAACAAGCTACTGATCTACAAGACAATACTGAAACCTATTTGGACTTACGGACTAGAACTGTGGGGATCAGCAAAATTTTCTAACATCAAGCGCATCCAATCCTTCCAGTCTAAAGTCCTTCGAACAATAGTCGATGCTCCTTTCTATGTATCCAACAAAACCCTACATCATGACCTTAACATCCCATTTGTCCTAGACCTTATCCCAGAAAAGTTCTCCAAATTTCACCAGAACCTTACTTACCACCCAAATCCTCTTGCACAATCCCTATCAAGCATCTCCCATCCCTATAATCCTCCAAGAAGGTTGAAACGGCAGTGGCCTCGCGACCTTTTGTAAATTATATAAATTGGAGTTCTGGCAATGGCCAGATTCTTCACTCAAGACATGTGTGTATGTGGCTAAAGTGCTCTCGACCAATCTCCGCTGGCTTTAGTACCAGTGACGCGGTTGGAAGAGTAGCGCAGGGTTCTCCTGGAGTTCCCTCGCCTGATTGTATATAGGTATGCATGTTATTTTTTTTTTTTTTTTTTTCCTTAGTTTTAATTTTCTTATTTTTTAGGTTATTTTATTTTATTGTCTATTGTATATACTTTTGATTATTATTTTGTTCTATTTATTTTATTTTTTTTGTACATATGGTGTGAATGTCATCCTACCTCACTATAACCAATGTCGAACAGACAGATTGTTATAATACTCAATAAAGAAATTTAAAAAAAAAAAAAAAAAAATGAATAAGTATATTTATATTCATAACAAAAATTTTCTTGGCCTACTTTACTGGAAGTGCCTTTTCGTTTTTGTTAATTAAGATGTTTTAAAAATCATTCAATACCATAGTCAATATTTTTTTCCTATTTTGCGGGAAAATAGAAACCGATTGATATATAATAGCCTTAATATTAGTGGAAAGCAAGAGCCAAAATTAATAACTTAAATTTTGTTAAATATTATATTATATAAAATATTTTTCCTCACCTCCTGGACTCATCGCCAAGAACCCTCGGACATTGGTCTAATATGTTACGACCTAGTATCACCAAAAACAGGTTTCATTGAAATCGCTGACCCACGTCCGTAACCTCTCCTTGCTAGATTTTACTTCGTCTATTCATTGTGTACCTGAAATCATCATCGAAATCGTATTAAAACCAACATATACTTGTAATATATTTCTTGATGAGACGTATGAACTGTCAACCAATACTTTTATTTTAAAAAATGTTAAAAAAGGAAACTGGAAAAAGAATCCTTATAAATATCAGAAGTATTGCCTTTCGTAGGTCATTATTGTAACTGATCAAATTATGGTGGAATATTTATTTAAAAAGCAATATTCTAATCGATACAGCAGCCTTAAACAAATATATATATTTTTTTGTAAACTTAGTGGGCTATGCAACATATTTCAATATTGAATTATACATTTTGATACTCAAGAGGTACAGGCGTGCCTTAAATTCATATGTCTGCTCCAAAAATATTTTAAGTATATATATTTATTTTTTAATAAGTTAAGATCTAAATTTGTTTTTACCGTTTTGCTTTCAACATTTCATATTTGTGAACAAATAAAAAAAAAAAAATTGAGACAATTTTCCTTATGAATAAAAATACTTATTATTTACAGAAATACCAGTTTACCATTATCATATTAAATTTGAATAGTATTTATACGATATATGGGAATATTAATTAGTGTATTGATTGCAGATTCTCTACGCTAAGTGAAAATTATCCTCAAAATACTATTGAAAAAATAGAAAAGATGAAGTCACCAAGGTTCATTAAATCACATTTACCACTATCCTTGTTACCAAAACAGATATCTGTCGTAAAACCTAAGGTTTGTATATTTTTAAATTATAGCATGATTTAATCAATTTTTTTTCTCTTTCATTATTTATCCGCACCTGTCATGGTGTTGACAATCAGCAGATGTGTTCTGATGATGAGGATAGGCATTAAAGCCATGAGGAAAGATAGTACGCAGCAGCACCTCTTCCTGGTCATAATTTATTTGTTTATTTAGGTGAGAAGATCTCTCATACAGCTCCTTTTTAATCTCCTCCTGATGGGCATGTCAGTCGTAGCCATGTCGGCTGAGATGAAAACGAGAGTAGAGAGTACGTATGTGTTAGTCTATAGGTGGTTGTCGTAAGTCGTTATATAAAGTTTTGTTGTTGACGTACTAAGGAGCTCCTGTTATAAATCGTAAAATTTTGGATTGAATTATTTTTTTTTTATTATTTATTTATATGATATTTACAACTGTATACAAAAAATACATCTGGTAAATTCGCACATTGGTATAAAGACATGGAACACATGTTGAGAAACTACCCATTGGTAGCACTCTAATAATATGTCTATATTAGAAGATCACGTGGCCATCTTCTTTTCAGACGCCTCGGAGGGTTATCAGGAATCGAATAGGAAACAAGGTTAGAGACAAGAGGGTTGGGATGGTTATGAAGTTTACTATGGAAGGACAGATATCTGGATTGGGCCAAATCTGATACATAAGGAACATTAAGGTCATTATGGATAATTTTATTTGTAACAAAGTAAGGAGCATTGAGGATTTTACGAAGGATTTTGGATTGTAAGGATTGTATGCGAGAGGAATTTGAAGGTTTGGTGGAGCCCCATAGCTCAACTCCGTAAGTCCAAATAGGCCTTATTATAGTCATGTAAATCAGTCTTTTATAATTGATTGGAAGGTTAGAGCGTTTGTCTAGTAAGTGTTGAAGTAGTCGGAAACGTCGAGCTGTTTCTTGTCGTTTCAGTCTGGTATGAGGATTCCAAGTTAGACGTTTGTCCAGATGGAGTCCTAGGTAACGGATTTGTTCAACAGGAATAAGTGAGGTGTTGTTAAAGGATACTGAAGGACAGGAAGTCATTGGTTTACGACGAAGGGTGAAGGTAATTTGATGGGATTTATTGGAATTTATTTTAATTCTCCAGTTCTGACACCATTCTTCAAGGTTTGTGATGTGGGATTGAAGGGTTTGGGATGCAATGGTTGGGTCGTTATTAACTGATAGGATACATGTGTCATCAGCATATGTGGTGATGACAGTGTTGGGATGGGTTGTGATGTCAGCTGTATAAACTGTGTAAAGGATAGGACCTAGGATACTACCTTGAGGAACACCTGCAGACTGGGAAAAGCGGGATGTATAGACATTGTTGGGATTTACTTTAAAGTATCTATCAGTAAGGTAGGAACGGATAATGAGGAAGTAGGTAGATGGTAGGAATTTTCGGAGTTTGTACAGCAGTCCCGGGTGCCAAACTCTATCAAACGCCTGTTCAACATCGGGAAAGGCTCCCGTACAGTACATACCGCGCTCCAATGCAGAGGATACTACGTCTACCACACGATGACATTGCTGTATAGTGGAATGGGAGGAGCGGAATCCAAATTGGTGATCTGGGATTATGTGATTAGAATCTAGGATTGGGTATAGGCGTTTTAAGATTAGTTTTTCCAGGATTTTTCCCATGATGGGTAACAGATAGATGGGACGGTAAGAGGATGGATATTCTGGTGGCTTTTTGGGTTTGTGGATCATTGTCACAATAGATATTTTCCAAGAGTCAGGGAAATATGCGGATCGGGGTACAGCATTATATATAGAAAGTAAGGAATAGGATGGCTTTTCGAGGAAGAAGTTTCAAGATCTGGGATGTTATTAGGTCATGTCCATGGATTGAAATGACTGTAGTTTTTGTAAGTGCACCTTTTTTGCCGAACCGTAAATCTGAGAGGCGTATGTCCAGATGGGTTTGAGTAGGTAAGTGTATGTATTTAGTTTTTGTCAAACTTTCAATTTAGATCTAGAAAAGAGTGAGAACAGTATTTTCAGTCGCTTGTTTAAGGTCTGTCGTTTCATTTTGACGTTTGGGCCCCAGGTCATCCTTCTGTCGAATATTAGTCCCAGGTAACGTACTGTGTTTGTCTGAGGAATTTGGCTCTCTCCTATATAAACTGGCGGGCACGTTTCTCATCGAAGTGTAAATGTTATATACTGTTACTTGTCATGATTTAATCTTATTTTCCAAAGTGAGTACCAATTTTGTAAAGTCAGTAAATGATTTGTAAATTTATTGAGGCTAGTCTAGGGTTATGGAGTTTTATTAAAATTGTTGTATCATCAGCGTAGGTGGCGGTCAATGTTTCGGAGTTGATAGGTATGTCATGCGTAGATAGGTATGTCATTACTATCTTCATCCTCCTCCATGTTTCTTTATATAATGTAAAATAAAGGAGCCAGTATTGATCCTTGAGGTACTCTTGCTAACACTGGTCGAATTGAGGAAATTTCTAGGCCTTGTCGGACAGAGAAAAATCTGTCGAAAAGGAAAGATTGCAGAATGAGGTAATATGTATGAGGTAGTATTAATCAATTTTTAAAATGTAATTTATTCATATAACACGGCATTATTATCACTTATAATTTAAACAAACAAATCAATAAAATTTGATTTTTCATAAAAAAAAAGTTATTTGTTGTTTAAAGTAGAAACGATAATATGATAATAATTATAATTACAATTATAATTTTTCCTTTCATTGATAATTGTTTCAAATGTAATACAACCTAATGTGGAAAAAGTGGATTCCTTAGATTTATCTCCAACTAACTATAATCGGCACATTACACAATTTGGTAATGTCAACATTTGCTCAGAAACTATCATGAACTTTTCTGAATTGAGATGAAATCGCAAAAACCAGTCAAACAGTTCCATCTAACTATCCCCATTAAGCTTTTGGTGAAGAATTTAATAAGAAGTAAATTTAAGTTTATTTATCCTTGCAAAATGGGAGAACGTAGTGGTTTAGGAACACTATGTGATTTTAATCAAGATATGTATCTTGTGGGTAACTACACTTCAGTTTAGAACTATAATAAGAACAGTAAAATTAGTGATTAACCAAAACATCAAAATAATAAAAATGGGGCTTATCAAGAATTGTTCATTAGCCTCACCATAATAACTGGTAAAAAGTCCAAAAGAATGCTTTTAACGGAGAAAAGGACAGAAAATTGACATTGTTTTAGATTTTTTATCACAAAACTTATGACGAAATCCGTGATGATTGTTCAGTACCATATCTAAATACTTTAAAAACCCATTAAAAATGATTCTGTACATTTTTTAAGTACGGTTCTGGCGATAATCGTTGGTTATCAAAACATATTCTGACAATAATTTAAGAGATTATATTTTCTAAAATTTCTGCTTAAAGCAATAATCTATCCAAAACATTGTTCATAGATAATACCATTAAGAAGTTAAATTTGTTTGTTCAACATTTCTGATTGTTCCAAATATAATTGAAAGTCTACTTGTTTCGATTAAAAAAAAAAAAAAAAAAAAAACGTTGACACCAGATCAGTCTTCGACATTAATCAATTAGGGATTTCATGATATTGGTGTGACATTGATTTCGTGTAACATATAATAAGTGAAAACAAATCATAAAACCTACAAAAAAGTTAATATAATCTGTCGTACAAAGTTCTTTAAATTTAAATATAGACTTTATCTTTAACTATATGCTTTCCAAAAACATTGAAAAGGAAATTATAAGCATTTACACTACGATAAGTTCTGTTTTCCGTAAAATCATAGATCATTCTCGAATTTGTTTCATTATCTCCGAATCGGACTACAGATATCTCACTATTACAAACACAAGCATTTTCTTGTTTAGTGAGCTTTAAGTCCGAATAAATTAAATTGAGTTTTTTTTTCACAAAATAAGCTTAGATTTACCTTTAGTTGTGTAGACAATTTTTCTAGATTTGATATTCTGGCAGAAAAATAAATTAAACTACTCTACATTGATACTGTATCTCACTTGAAAACAGCCTCATTCCATATTTTTTGATGTGAAAAATTCGGATTTCCACATAAAAATTAGCTATAGTTTCAAAGATATAGTTACTTTTTGGGTATTTTTAGGATTGAATCAAGTTACTCTTGACGTGATTTTTCTTGCTTCAGGTATTTTTTCAACAATTATGTCGTGATAATGCCAGTAGCTTTGGTGAAGTTACAATATCCTAGAATTGTGTAATTGCTTCTGACAACTTTCGTTTCATTTGTGTTAATTAGTCCTATCACCCAGATGATCAAGACAGCACACCACAAGTATTTTGGTGTGAAGGTTAATGACCATGATAAACCTCGGGCCCCGCAAATCTGCTGGATTACATGTAGCGTAACGTTAAGAGAATGGTAGCACAAGAAAGGTCGCTCAGTGGGTTTTACTGTTTCCATGGTGTGGAGTAAGCCTACTAATCACACTGACAACTGCTACTTTTGCATAACTCCTATTCTTCATATTGGAATCTGTCTCGAAAAAAGAAATCTGAAGTGAAGTATCCTGATATTCCTTCAGGGATTCATCAAAGCTATCCCACAAGGCAGTTCTGTTGCACAATGGCAATTTACTTCCCTCTTACCCTATTGACCATGCTATCCACATGTAGGAAACTCACCAAAACATGGAAACCTTCCTAAAATCCGTTAAATACCAGCCAATACCTGCCAATGGCAAATCTGTGGGGACCTGAAAGTGGTGGCAATTATTCTAGGTGTGCATCAGGAATATACTGTTGCTTCTTGTGTGAGTGGAACAGCCGGGACAAAGCTTCTGATTACATCAGGTAAGAATAGCCTCAAAGTGAAGTCCTGACCCCTAAACAAAAAAAAAATATTCTCTACAACTTTCTCATGGGCACTGAAAACATCATTTTGCCTCCACTGCGTATGAAGTTAGGGCTCATGAAAAATTTTTCACCAAGATAAATCCTCGATGGAACGAAGATATGAAGATCGGTGGGATTCTTCAATACTCTCAGACTACTGTTGGAACGTTGTAACTGATTTGCCAGAACATCAGTACAATCTTTAAGCAAAGATGAGACCTTCTAAATAAATTGTACAACAGCGCTGTTCTTGCCGTAAGAAATTGTAATTTAATATTTTGTGTTAGAGTCCTACCATTGGGTAGTTACTCAGCAAGTGTTTTTCATGTCATTATATACATTATGTTCTAATTTACTAGATGCATTTATTTAATACAGTTGTAAATGTCTTTAAGAAATAAAAAAAAAATATTTTGTGGGTTGTAAAATTATTTCACAAATAATAAAGGACTTTTAAAACCTAAAAAATGATCGTGTAACTACCAATAACTTAATTTTTTAAATTCAATACTGGTTACACAAATCTGCAGAACGGTAGATCATGAAAGGATTCTGACAGAAAATTCTAGTTTCTCACACCAAAATTAGTAAACAGAAACAATTTTCATCGAAGATACAGTCAAAACAATTTTTTTGTGGGTCAGTGTTATTAAAATGTAGGAATTTCTCTTCCCCTGTAGCCAGAGATAAATCATTATAAATTTATTGCGAAAAAAATCTTTTTATTAATTAAAATATAATTAAAATAATTCTGCAATTACATAAAATTAACATTTAATGGGGTAATGCAGGAGCATTTTTTTTTTCATTTATCACCAAATTAACAGCTGATACCCATATCAAAAATTCTTAATTGATTGATTGATGTCGAATACTATTCAGCTGTCAGTGATTTTGTTTTAGAATTATCGAAACAAAGGAACCTTTAAGCACAATTCAAACGATCGAAAATGTTCATTAAACAAATTTAACTTCGAGATGGTGTTATCTACAACGAACAATAGAAATTGTTGGAGATTGTGTTCCTCAAATAATGACGTACACAACATTCAGTAGGAAATTTACTACTAAAAATAGCACTTATATAAAATCCAACTAATAACTCTTTCTAAGAATTGTAGGTAGACGATTTCTCGTGTTTGTACTTAAAGTGTATTACGTTGATGGCAAGGCAACGTTGATGAAACAAAATCAGTGCCCATAAATTTGAACTGAGAGGAACATGTTCATTTCCATTCTTTCAAATTTTTTTTTCAGATAATCTACGTTTACAGAAATCCTAAGGACGCAGCTATTTCCTTCTTTCATCACTACCGATTTTGGCATCAGTATCAAGGAAGTCTGCAAGAATTTTTAGATGCGTTTTCGGATGATAAAGGCTAGTAATAATTTAAATTTTAAGCTAAGCACTGTGCAACCGAATTTCGTAGTATGTTTTCTTTTTTATGAGTAGTAATTTTATTTATTTATATTTGTTTCATGCGCAGTAATGTATGCACCTTTCTGGGATAACGTTCTCTCCTTTTGGAACATGAGGCATGAACTCAACCTTCTCTTCATCACTTTCGAAGACATGAAAAAGGTAACATGATATTTTTATAAGTGGTTCTAAATAAAATATCATAGAATCTCTGCCTGAAGCAATATCAATTTTTCGGCCAGTTACCAGCTCCCAGACACCTCTTTCGTTGTCCGTGCCTTGAGCACCGTCATTGCAGTCCATTCGGATACCCACAGCTTGGTTCGCAACGGCCTCCTTCATAACAGTCGCTATTTCATCAAATGGAATAGATTCTTTCTTATAGCTGAACTTAAATGAAGAAAAGAATAGTTGGGGTGATCAGTCAAATAAGAAGAAAAAGTTAATGATAATATTTATTTTGACATTTGCCAACATTTTGAGGCACATAGAAAATCTTGGCACAGACAGACCATTGGCTAAAAATGAGTTTTTCGGACTCAGGGGACTGTGAAACGTATAGATCAGTCGAAAACCGCATGTCATAATTTTGACCCGATTGCAATACTTTTCTTACCTAGTATAGGTAGGAAAGTAATAAGTTGAAAAAATGTGTAAAAAATAGAATAAGCTGTATCATCGCTAATACTCGTTCGATTCCGATGATTTTTTTTTTTGTTTTGTTGATAATTTAAATACCTTGCAAAAGTTAAATTATAAATTCTACCGTATAATATATAGTTAGGGAGTTAGGCCCCATGACATTTTTCTTTTCTTTATAACTTTTTTTTCTGAAATTTGTCGGGAATTTACTCTATGTGCGAAAATTAAAAGTACAATGATTAGAACATCATAGAAAAGTTTCATCAAAATCGTTAGAGCCGTTTTCGCGCTACAGTCTATAGAAAAACATGTTTTTTTCATTTATTGCGCTCAAGCTATTGCGCATGGAGCAACAAATTTCTGTCACAGGCATGAGTAGTCAAAATCCTACAAAATAAAAAAAGAACCAACAAAATCGGTTCAGTAGTTCCAGAGAAAATCTTGGCACAAACAGACAGACAGACAGACAGACAGATAGACCAATGGCTAAAAATGTGTTTTTCGGGCTCAGGGGGCTTTGAAATAGATCCGTCGAAAACCGCATGTCGGAATTTTGACCCGATTGCAATACTTTCCTTACCTAGTATAGGTAGGAAAGTAAACAAAGTATATAAGATAATAGTCTAAAAGAAATTCAGCCCACCTTAGGTGAAAAAAATAAAGAATTTTATAGTTTCTGAATTTCATAAACCTCCACGCTGTAAGGCACTAAGGAGGAAGAGAAAGAAGAAGAAGAATTTCATACTTAATAAAGAAGAGCGGTAGAATAATCAGCGCCGGACACAATCTTGAGTGCCAGAATAGTAGTATTATGACAAACTATAATAATTTAGATGATGGTGCGGAAACAATCATTTCCTGAAAACGAGGGAAACATTAACGCAGATTTTCATTGAACGGAGAAGATATGTGTAGCTGAGAAACTGGCACCATGGTGATTGAAACCATGGTGTGGAATTTTGAGATAATGAGCTTATCAGTTTAACGTTATCGGCGTCGATCGGACGCTGAATTGTCCCCAGGGATAAAACGAGATATTAATGGTAGAGTATAGTAGGTTCCATCTGGTAGGTTTAGGTTTTAATGAGGTTATAAGTAGAGGGATAAGTTAATGCCTACTTGTTGCTGCTGTTACCGGCATAGAGTTCGCGCTTTTAAAAAAAGAAAAAGTGAAATCAGTTATTAAATTTTAAGTGCTTCGACATCAATTCAGATGAATTAATTCTAATAATCCGCTTATTATTCGATCTGATTTTTCTTTCTCTTTATTCTTGTGTGCCCTTCATTGTGGAGGAACCTACAGGCCTCTTGACCATACATCTCGGTCTCTCACCAATTCCTTAAACTGACATAGGGTTTCCTCTCTTTCCTCAGCTATTCCTTGTATATATTCTAGGTATGTTCTTTTTGGCCTTCCTCGTGGTGTCCTGCAAGTTGGTATCGCTCCCATACCTTTCTTTGGTACTATATCGTCTTCCATGTTACAGACGTATTCATTCCATGGAAGTTTTAGTCATTCCACATTTAATTTCAGTGAGGGTATCAGGAGGTCTCTTATTCTCTCATTTCTTATTCTCTCCTTCCATCTCTCCTGGTTGTCTCAATATTTTTCGTAGAACATATCATCTCAGCATTAGTAATTCTGCTGAAATGCTTGTCATGGGTGACCCAACTTTCGTTACCGTATAATAATGTAGTGAGATAAACTGCTTTGTAGATGCGGAGTTTGATATTATTTCCTAAAATCCGATTCGTACTTGGATAGGAAATTATAGTTTTAGAGATTGAATTTTGGAACTATTAAACAAAACTCTGCCAAGTACGAGCCAGGTTTTATCCTGTTCAATTCATGTGGTATATACTATTGCAAATACAATATTGACAGGTAGAATAGTGAGGGTATACGAAGCTTAATTCGCTAAGAATGCTCAAAACCTTTTTAAGAAATGCCATGAACCTGGAACCACTGAATCAAGTGACTGTATGCCTCATTCATCAAAAAAAACTTTGGATTATATTTTCTCAAAGGTGAAAGCTGCTATTATACATAAAAAAAACGACCCAATTAAAAATCAACTTCCCAACTTCCTAGAGGAACGTTCTCTTATCAACCATTCCAATTTGGCATCCATCCTTGCTACTAATCGCAAAGAATCTTCTCATCTTCTAGAAAGTTCCATTGAACACCAAAACATTACTACCTTCATCCTTCTCCATGTTTCCAAAGCGCTTGACACAATTGACCATAACATCCTCCTTACTAAAGTATGAAAATTTCCTCTACTTAATAGTGCAATGCGTTGGTTTAAATCCATCTTCTCAAATCGATCAGTATTTAGTCGTTCCAGGTCAATCTCCACATAAGACACTTCCCCTCTTCTGTTGTGTGCTTCAAGGTCCCTCTCTATGCACTACTCTGTTTGCTATTTACATTAATGACCTTCCTCTTCTGATTCATCACTCTCAATATTCTATCTATGTACTATATCTATGATTTCCAAATATACCTGTCCTTTTCGTCTTGTGACCTATTACCAGCCACAAAAAAAAAAACTTCAAGAAGATTAAATAAAATTTGTGATTGGTAGGAGCTAATAAGTTGAAGTTGAATGAGGATAAGAATAAGACAATCTTAACAGGCTCCAATCGCCTCCTTAAAACTGTTCATAATATTCCAACTCTGTTCCTACAAGATGATTCCATTAAATCGTATTCCAACATCAAAAACCTTGAAATAACCTTTGATCAAACAATTTTCTGGATAACCATGTGTGACTTCCCTCCTAATCCCTTCGTACCTTTTCTATAATAAAACGTCATAATTACCTCTGCCACCTATTTTGATTAGAAACCCGTAGGCTCATAGTCATTCCCTCAATATATCCTCACTTTGACTATTACTCTATAGTATATGTATGCTTCTGTGAAGACCTCATGGCTAAACTTAAACGTTTGATAAATTGCTTTGTACGATTCATCTTTGGGATCCAAAGGAACGTCTCTGTTTTCCTTTATGATGAAGAGATGCAGTGGCTTTATCCTCCTTACCATCAAAAGTATTTCCTGGAATCCATCCTCTTCCAAGTCATCCAATCGCGCCGTCCTTTGTACATCTCCAAGCTCCTTCGATCCTAATCCTCTGTTCATTCCCGCAGTCCCAGTTTCCGGCCTCCAGATTTATATACAAGGACCCACAGAACCGCTACTTTCGATAAATCATTCATTAACTGATCATTATCTCTATGGAACTCCATCCATTCCTCCATCTGTCAATCTAATACCCTGTCTACCTAAGCACAGTAAAAAAAAACAAGAAAAACAAAATAGATTTTTTACTTACCTAATTAGACAATGTGCATCTCTGAAACCTATGTCCCATCACGGTGAATGATTTTGAACGATTAAGCATTTGTAATGCGTTAGTAGAGAACATAAAGCTAATGTAGTTATTCATTACAGTTGGGCTTGGTGACCATCTTGTTTCTCATCTCTAAAGATCATGGCTTGATCACCTTTAGAGAATAAATGATATTTGAATGATTATTGTATTTTAAGTATCAGCTTCGAGAAGATAGACAGCTGATTGATAAAATCTTCAGGATGGCTTGATTATCTGCAATAAAAAATATAAATTATACATTGGATTATATGTAATTTTGGTGTAATATTTAAATATATAGTTTTTTTTCTTTTAATGGATAATGGGGTTTTAAAAGTCTAAATATGCGAACTATTGAAACTATTGAAAGGAACCCTGAGCTGCTCTCAGAGTAATAAATTAGCAATTCATAACATAATACTTATAGTTTCTAATTTAAATTTTAATGGCTATATTTTGTTCTTATAGGACTTGTATGCAGTAGCCAAAAGAACAGCTGATTTCATGGGTGTGGAAATCAAAGAAAATATCAAAGATAAATTCCTAAAACACCTAAGTTTTGAAGAAATGAAGAAAAACGCGGCAGTGAATTACGAAGAGATTCAGGCTAGAAACAGGGACCAGAGCATCAGCTTTATCAGAGAAGGCTTAAGTGGAGGCTGGTCAAAGGTTATGAATGCAGATACAATCAGAAGATTCGAAGAAAAAGCTAAACGAGTTCTTGCAGGATCAGATTTCCCATACTGTGATTAGCACATGATATGCAATGAAATAAATAAAATATTTACTTCTTTTATTACTTTTTCTCATGTCAGAGAAATAATCATTTCTTAAAGTGATGGGTGTTGAGAAGGTTTTATAATTTTAAATTGTTACTGGGTGACAGTTATAGAACATATAACAAAAATATACTTTGTTTAAATTTATTTATTTATTTATTATCTGAATTTGCCTCTACCCGATAGGGTCATTGACAATTATTTCTTCACTCCAGTTTCCTATATTCTATTGCTAAATCCGTTTTTTTTTTTTCAAAAAGCTCATCAGAACTTTTACATCTTTCTCAGTATCTTTTAATATTTCCTGAAGAGTAAAGTGTATGTTGAGGTTTTTTCTTGTGGCTGCATAGTATTCACAATCTACGAGTATGTGGTTCACGGTTCTAGGGGAACCACATCCGAAGCAGGTAGGTGGCTCTCGACCGTGGAGTAAGTAACCGTGTGAAAATTCGCAGTGTCCAATTCGGAGCCGGCACAGAATTATTTCCTCTTTTCTTGACTTCCTGTAACTTTTTTTTAAAATAATCTATTTATTGAATAATAATACAATCAGCCACTGCTGGAGGGCTAAAAGTTCTCATTCATACAATATTTACAAATAATAGAGAAATAGATATAAATATAAAAAGTAAATAAATAATACTGTCTTGTAACTAGTGCACCATTTAGCACTGTTTGCTTTTATTTGGGCAAGTTTTGAGGGGTTTCTTCTCCAGGTCTCATTCTCTTGAGCTATTATCTGGGATTTTGCTTGGCTCACCCAATCATCTCGAGGAACATAATTAATGAATTTTACCTCATTATGGACATTACTTCCGGCTATTCGGGATTCGATATCTGCCTTTGTGTTGCCCTGTATACCACAATGAGACGGAACCCAAATAAAATCTGTTTTATTTCTTGCTTTTTTACCGATCCAAATAAGTTTACCTTTTTATAAATAAATTCATACAAAATATATTGTACAAGATTTAATTTGTAGAAGTTATTAATAGTGTTAACGTCTAAAAAATTCGAACCGAAGTAGCACTTACAATACATTATAACTTAACATATGTATTGAGAGATATTACAACCTGTCACAATTAAGGACATTTATAATAGTGTTCAAAGAGCACATTCACAACAATATATTATAAAAGAAAAAGAAAGTAAGTAAAATGAATAAAGAAAACATTACATAAATTAACAAAATAATAATAAATAAATGAAGCGCTATAAATAAATAAAATGTATAAACAAAGTGAAAAAATAATGAATATAATAAATATATGAGTACACAAAAACAGGTTCAAAATAAAGATACATAAAGAAGAAACGAACTTTTCACATATCTAAAACAGGTATCAATATAATATAACTTCATACTAATTTAATGTCAAAAAATATAGAAAAAAAAGTGTCTATAGTATAATTTTGTCTGTAACATTGTAACTATCTTAATAAATTATAACTATCTTAAAAGAAATGGAATAATATTTTTTAATTCTCATAGATGAACTCAAAAATGATATACATGGCTTTGGATGTTCCACTCCCCTGAGGAATCGATATTTTGCTGTTTATCCAACAATACAATTGGTTCCTGTGATGATCCATGAAAATTTCAAAAATAGTATCAAAAATTGAGAAATGTTTAAATCCATTAACAAAAAAGGGTGTTTTTCACGAAAGATTATTTTAAATATCACATATTTATTGGTATGTGATATTTAAAATATGAAATCGTAATTTGGTATGAAAAGTTCCATTTTATTTTTTAAAATCCCAATTTGGTTTGGAAAATTCTTAATTAGACTTAGAAATACTATACGTTTGATGAATGGTGGCAAAAATATTACGTCGAACATAGATTCGGATATTTCATAGGAAGTTTATTTTTAAATAATTGTTTGACTTATATTACTTACTACAGTTGAAAACTCAGTTTTTGTAGTACATGAAAGGCTTCATATCATAGACAGGCATATATCATTTTCTGAAGATATAGATAAAATTAATTATTCTTTTATAGGTTCATGTCAAACTGTTTTGATAATTTTATCATTTTATAACTTTAATCATAAAAAACCCATTATAACTGGTTTAAATATTACAGAAAATTGTGTATTTCTCAAAGGCACAGACTCTATTTATTAATTATTAATATCCGCCTGAAACTTTGTAAATAGTTTCATCCCATCGTAAGCTACAACTATTTTATTTAAGAAAACTCTTAGAATTGGGGCGGTTTCAATCTGGAGGGGGCAAACTTTGTCTATTTAATTAGGAACTAAAAACTCGTAAATACTCATTTGCTTTCTTCTTGGATCGTAAGATAAATTGATCACCAAATCAATGAAAAAGGTGGCCTACAAAAATATCGGGCCATTTATCCTGTATAACCTCGTTATTTTGAAAATTTGTGGGTATATGTCATGCCAAACGGCTAAATATTTTTGGAGACCACCTTTTTTTTAGACTTTGTGATCAAATTATCTTACGATCCAAGTAGAAAGCAAATGGATATTTAAGAGTTTTTAGAATCTTATTAAAGAGATAAAGCTTTTCCCCTCCAAATTGAAAACGACCCAATTCCATTTTTGAGTGTTTTTGAGTCCACCATGAGTTTTCGCATATAAAATAGTTGTAGGTTACGATGAGATGTTAATAATTCGATAAAAAATGTACCACGGACTCAACTAGAAATGACAAGTCCGTCTTTGATCTGAAGCCACTAATATTGAACAGAATGGAAAATTTATTAAGAAAAAATAAGGTAACACCGCTGTAGTTCTCATAGTGTAAGTGTCCACTATGAAAACTATATTTTTACTCATTTTCACTGTGATGTTTACTAGAAATTTAATTTTATGGTTAACAATTTAAATAAGAGTATTATTTCATTAAAGCGAGAATAAGAATATTTAACATGTGATATTTGCTAGACATTTAATTTTAAGGTTAACTATTTAAATAAGATTATTATTTAATCAAAGCGAGAATAAGAATATTCAACATATGTCAATGCCGTACAAATCTCGTTTTTCCGGCATTTGTGCTAATGTGAAAGCGATCAAGTTTCGAGTCTATGTCTATCCGGCAGTTCTGCGCATGCGTTAACCCTACACATACACTCTTTATTTCGTCTCTAACAAAGTGACTTTATTATCAGTGAAATAATTCATGCTATATGTGAAAAAGTAGTGTGAACTATTAAGTTAACAATTAAGTTGAAACTGGACATAAATAAGGTGAGTAATCACTTATTTATAACGGCATTGTGAAAAATGTAAATAGACCTGAGGATAGTGATAGATAACAAGCCAGCCATATACATTCTCTAATCCGACCAGTGGGCTGCTGCCCTTCGGCGGAAGCACATCTACGTTTCTCAGAATTCTACAAATTCGCGTAATATATACGTAATTGATAAAGGACTTTTTTTTACAAATTATTACATTTACCTCTAATTGATTAACATGAGATGCGATATTTTTACATGGTAATGTCGAGCAAAGGTAGCAATCGAACTTTAAGATCTAGGAGTCTAGATACCACAAAGAGTTCACCTATCAAGAAAAGGGCTAGACGCTCTAAAAAAAATACCCCACCAGCTACACCAGAGAGCTCAGTTGACGAAGTCGAAAATCAACCTGGCACATCATCACAAAATATGTCAACACAAGCTTTATCAATACAAGGTACGTTAGAAGAATCGCCCTTTTTTACAGCTAATCCATTCCAAGTGTTGTCAAACACACAGAATGAACAAATGGAAGCAGTACCCATCCCTAGTGAACCTAAACCCCCACCAATATTCGTTAGAAACATAAAAAAATTTCAATTAATGTGTCTACAATTAAATAATATAGTGGGCTCAGGTAAATACTTATGCCAAAGCCGCATTAATGACACGAAATTAATGCCTGACACCCCAGATACGTACAGAAAAATTGTCAAGTATTTATCTGACACTAAGGCGGATTATCACACATATCAGCTGCGCCAAGAGAGAGCGCTCAGGGTGGTGATCAGGAGATTACACCCATCAACACCACTGGATGCCATTAAAGAAGAACTAACTGAGATGGGGTTCCGTGTTCGCCAAATAGTGAATATATTCAAGGAAGATAGAGAACAGCCTGGCTCAAAAAATAAAATACCGCTCCCACTATTCTTCGTTGACCTTGACCGAACGCCCCAGGTCGAAGACATCTACAAGGTCACACGCCTTTACTACACTAGCGTTGTTGTAGAAAAGCCCTACACTAAGCGCGACATTGTACAATGCCATAACTGCCAGGCTTATGGTCATACGAAACGCTATTGCCACCACATTCCTAGATGTGTCCGGTGCAGTGATCAACATAAAACAGAGGACTGCCAGAAGTCCAGAAGAACACCAGCAGTATGCGCTTTATGCCATCAAGGGCACCCAGCGAACTACAAGGGTTGCCAAACATATAAGGAACTAAAAGCAAGAATTTATTCAGCTCCAAGAGAAGAACGGCCATCCAGGCCACCAAGACAACCCTCTAGAACTGTAAATACAAGAGTGTCCTATGCTCAGATATTCAAAGGAGATACTGCACCCACACAAACTCAGGCCCTGCCACAAGAACCTCAACCTCGAGTATTCACATCTCAACCTCAAGACCCTTATCCCATCTCTGAACCTAGGCCTAATAACCAGGCATTCATTCCTCCTCCTCCCAATGCCACTGACCTCACAAGCCTATTGACTTCTTTTCTCTCTGAATTCAGATCACTCATCACTCCTCTCATTTCCTTACTTACCAATGTTGTATCAACCTCATCCCACTGCCGAGAAATCCTTAAATGTCCCCAATCAAATCCCTCTCCGTTCTCCTTTGGAATGCGAATGGTATTCGAAATCACATCAACGAGCTAACAATCTTATTACAGGACAAAAACATTGATATAGCATTAATAACTGAAACTCGACTTACCAACAAACGACCACTTAACATCCCCAACTATCATATCTATCGAACCGACCATCCTGATGGAACAGCACATGCTGGCACTGCCATAATTATCCATCAATCCCTTTCCCATCACCTATTCCCTTTGCCGACCCATAATTTCCTACAATCCACTGCCGTGATAATCCAAACTCTCCTTACCCAATAGCAGTAGTCGCAGCATACTCCCCGCCTAAAATACCTATCTCAGAATCCCAATTAATTTCCTTCCTTAACT